CTCGAAATGGAAGTAATCCCAACAATTATGAAACAAGAGATTCCTCGAAACCCAACTTTTCTTCTTATATATATCTTATAATCTCAACCAGAGTTACTTCCGGGCTTGCGCAAGCTGAATCTCTGTTGTGCTTTTTCTTCAGTCATTAAGCCCTAATGACCCTGGTCGGACATTAGGCCCTTTTGTAGTTACATTGATTTATGGTCTGATTCCCTACACTCAAGTTTAAGTACCTGGATTAATATAGAAGATTTATCTTTGTTTTTATTTATGAATATATATATATATATATATATATAAAGAGAGAGTGTAGGATAGAGCTTGATATACTTGTTTGTTATGCTTGTTAACTTGAAGCCTTTGTAGGAATGAGTTCCGGCTCGGATTATGTTCGTCAAGTGGGAAGACGGACGAAACACAGCCTATTTTCACGATGATGGATGTCTCGTGAGTTTCGTCAACCTGAACATTGTATTGCTGCAGAAGAACTGGAATCCGCCGTCGTTTTTTGGTGAGATCAACCAAACAGTCTCTTCACCATACGCTTTAAAATGAAATGAGTCTTCATATAAAAAATTTTATAGCTTGCGAGTTCGGTCAGCTTTAGTCCATTAGCTATTTATTGGTGTTTTGTCTATGGTAGACGATTATCCCATTCTTAACTCTACAAGTAAAAGGCTTATTCCTCATTTTTAGGATTAAGAAGGCGACCTCGGAGGTGACCAGTCAGCCCTTGAATCGTAAGTTTTATCGCTTGTTTGTGTTTTGGCGATATTTCTTGTTACATGTTAATAGAGCCTAAATCATTCTGTTATTCCATCATTGATTTAATTCCATAATGTGGATGGGTAAGTTTCGTGAATCAGTTTCATTGGAACTGTATGTTTCCAGCTTTTATACTTTCTCTTTGGGTGGGACAGAGGAGGGATCATCACGGATGGAGCTGAGCCACAAGACAACGTGCAGAGGGCTTCAACGCCCATGTCAAATTAAATCAAGCCAATCATCTGGTTTCTGGTGAGACCAATTTACGAATCCCTTTCACCAAAAGTTGCCTTCACAATGAAAAGTCCAGTGGCATATTAAGTTCTAACTTAAGGGATCTTTTGAAGCCCAATTGCGTTTCCTATGTTTAATCGAAGGTATGAAGACCAATAAGGTGTGGCCTTTTGTATGGTCGCAGTCTCCTTTCGTTGCATAGAAGTTGTTTGATCTTGTTTTCGCAACTTGGTCATATTAGCAGAATGGCCTAGAGGAACGCACCTTGTCCGGAGTCCATAGTATGCATGATCATTTCCAAACTCAGACTGTGCAAGGGGTATGTCTTATAAGCCCTATAGGACTCTCATAAAATAATCTTGTTAGGCTGAGACTCCGTTTTCAAGCATTTCCCTTCCTCTTTTCCTCTTAGATGATACGCATCCGATTTCGGTCAATTCCGACTTTTCGCCTCCTCAGCATGAGATGTTGTCTGGGCAGAAAACCGCCAATGAATTAGTTGACCACCTTTTTGAGTTTGCGCAACACCTTTCCTGGTCGCCTCACTTTCCCCCAGTCTTGTTTTCATTGCCAGGCCAGACTCAAGCACCAAATACTTTCGGCCCAACTCAAGCCACCGTCACAGCATCCTCTTCAGAATCATGTCAACCGGCGTCTGTCGCCATCGGACCTTATGATGAACCAGACAGGCGATGTGTCGGGCATCAGGACAACTTTACCATATCGCCGGAGGAATCCAGAAAGCCTGAAGACGGGCTTGGTCTGAGACGATCCGGCTTGCGGCCGGATCTCGAGTTGCCTGAGCTCGGGACCGGCGGCTCGACTTTGCGGAAGTCCGAAATGGACAGCTTCGAGGCGGGCATAGCCAGACTGATGCATACCCAAACCGATGAATCCAGAGACCTTGTACCCTTCGCAATGGCCGAGTTTCACCAGCCTCATCAGATGGAGGCCTGCAATACAGGTATTCACATTTTCCATCCACCATAATTCAGCTCCCCTCTTCATTGTTTTCTTGGGGCTTTTGGTAATTGGATAAAGGAGGTAATTGAAAGTATTCCAAAACAACTAACAAATGTGTAATAATGCTTCGAGAGTAACAGGCATTTTTTCGGCTTCAGATGTCTTAAATAGTAACAGCAAAGTTTTCTTCACTACTTTCAATGACCCTTGTTATGCTGCTCAAATCTACTTATAGATACAAAGAGTAACTGGTTTTTGATGAATCTCTTAAGATGGCATTAGTGAAGGGACTTTCATTTCGTATAAAAACGCATGATGAAGGGAGCCCAATGTGGAACTCATCAGAAGCGAACTACCGATTCACGTTGTACTGCTGCCTTTTGGCTTTAATATGACGCTCAAGTTGAAGCGGTCTACAAGACATTCTCCCCGATTTTGCATGAAAACGGGCTTAGCTTTCATTCATCATTCGATAGACATCATCAGAGCTGGAACTCATTCTTGTAAAAGCCTCAGATTAATAGTGGGTCAAGAGTCTCCTGTCTACGTCTTATAGCCACACTATTTTCACACGACCCGGCTTTACCTTGTGACTTTACAAGAATGAGTCCCAGCTATGATTATGTCCATCACATGATGGACGAAAACTCAGCCCGTTTTTACCAGAAACGACAGATGTGATCTACGTCAACCTGAATGCTGTATTATAGTCAAACGGCTGCAGTGCAACGCGAATCAGCCGTCGTTTTCCGGTGATATCTCTTG